TATATTTTCCTGATTCGTGTCTACAATTATGGAGACTCTTGCACGAGATCAAGTACTTAGGGCCTGGTGGCGGGAATGAACTGTCACAGGCAGCCTTCTCGTGGAGTCCATCATGAAAATGCGATTCGTTCGAATCTAGTCAAGAAAGAAGACTGCTATACGTACTAACTCACAGGACCTAGGTGAATATAGCTCTAGGATAGAGCTGCAATAGGAAGGCTATAGAGAGGCTTTCCCCTCTGTATCTTCATGACTTTATAGATATAGATGTATCGTAAGGCGCCTACGAGCTATTCGGCGTAATATACATATATACTTATAGGGTTGCTAAGACTTGGAGTAAAGTAGTATGTAGAATTCAGGCTTGATACACTCTGAGAGCCTACATTCCTGAGACTTGTTCTCACGGCTCTTGGTAGTAATCTATAGGTAGAAGAAACCTGCTGCCAGCGCCCTGGCTAGCGTGGCACCTCTGCTTAGGATTCTCTGTCGTTGTATAAAAGATAACAGGGGCCAATCTCATGCGACTGCCTGCGAGTCAATCTCATGCGACTGCCTGTGAGTCAATCTCATGAACAGACCTTTTATTGCCCATCCTGTGACTAGCCCCATCCGAGATTGAGTACCACATAGATCGAGAAGGCGCCTGTAGTTCTTTCTTGAAATCTATAAATTCAAGGAGCATGCCGCCTCGTTGACAGACTTTATCTGCATCCTCGAGAACCTCGAAACACAGCTACTTCACATCTTTGTCACACTACATTCGGACAGATTTCAGTCTTATAATAAAGGCCGCCTTCGCTTTCACCCTAACTACAGGGCTTCCTGTTGCTCTAGCATCAGCTATCCTCAAACCAAGAATCATCAGACCTGATAAGCCCACAGATCGCTTTAAATTTGTCGTTAGCATTCAGGATAACACAAAAACCCACTCCTGCGGAGGCACGTTACTAGACAGTACTACTGTCCTTACTGCCAGTCATTACATCCTTAATACTACCGACGCAGGGTTTATGGTGGCAGGAAAAACGGTATAGTCAATTATCTTCCTCATTTCTCTTCTTTACAGCCTCTTCTCCTTCCTCTTAAGACGTCTCTCTGCTACATAGGCTAATATGTCAACTTCATAGGATCTCGAGGCGACTAAGGGAGTAACGGTCAAGATTTCAACACTTCAACGACCTCTCCACAAAGCGTTCAGCAACGAGGTCGCTAATACCAACAACAGGATAGGCGACATTACGATCATCAAGCTAGCTACTCCCATTAAGAAGAGCGATGACATTAACTATACGCCATTACCAGCATCCGACGCCGTCCCTAACGGGAGCGAGGAATTATTTGGTATTAGCTGGTAAGCAAACCTAGTACTACACACAACCGCGATTAAGCGCTAGAAACTATCCATTTCCAAAAGAGACATAGATGGCTTATCGGTGTATAAATGGCGCTAACAGCAGCTCAGGGGACTCAATGTTACTTAGGAAGGGGACGAGCCTGACTTTTTAGTTCCTAAGCGAGCAGAAGTTCTACTCAAGCAACAACCATTTGATAAATGCCTAGATCCGCAAAGAGCTGGCGATGTAAGCACGTTAATTTGTGCTGGCAAACCCGGAAAGACTGTTTACTCGGGTGACAGCGGTGGTCCACTGATCGACTCCAAGACTAGGACAGTGGTCGGCATCGTGTCAATTTCAGTAGCCGACTTAGACGGGTTCCTCTGCACAGATGCAGCTTTATTTACGAGAGTCGGCAGCTATCTCGACTTCATCAACGAAAATCTTGGTCAGCGAGGCTTCACCGATGGCGACAACCAGAGGGTCAAGGACGAGGCAAAAAGGCCGGCTCTCCTCGGCGCTTGCCAGATGAAGCATTCTGAAAGTCAGAAAGCGTGTATACTGAACATTACCTCTGGTTCAAACGGGAATCCAATCGGAACTGGGGAGGAGGATTGGGCTGAGTGCGACCACTTCGACGACTTGTGGTCTGCTTGCGAGGCATGCGCTGAGAAAGCAACTGCTGACTCGACGGTTGAGACAGTCATCCAGTGCTCCGAAGCAGTGGAGAAGGGAGATTAAGGCCACACGGTGAATCGGTGGCAGAGAGGGTCGGTCAATCACATCGGACACAGGACGCCGAGGGCGAGGTTGTAGGACGGCGCGCGCGCTCTGCAGCATTGGCCTTCTTTTAGAATAACACAGTTTCTGATGTCTATGTTATTACTACCTAGTTCTTGCGTGTCTACTCCTGATGTCAGAGACAGAGAAGCCATATACCAGAACGAAATTGAGATTAGATCCCGCCAGATCAGTCATATTACTAGGATACTCTCCGTTAGGGTCGTGCATGATGGAAGTCAACCAGGGCTCGAGAGATGACATTAACCCTTGACGGTGGAGGGAGCGGGCCAACAGTAGTTCGCAACAGCGCCTGACCCGATATCTTCCACAACGCTCCAAGCTATTCAGAGGCCCTGCATATGTATGTACTCTGTATATAAAGCAGCGTGTAACACACCCTCAAGACCTCTCCTATGGCTGCCAATATCGTCAATTGCTGAACTTTGCAGTGTCGTGGATGAACCGCTGGACATTTGTCCAGTTATCCGGTTCTCGGTTCCACACATTGTTTGCGCAGCCGATCATAAGAGCGTGTCATTTCTCGCGTCCGCCTCTCGGTCGGAAATCTGCAAGTTCTGCCAGGGTCTGTTGAATGACCGCAGGACCGCCAGGCTCAAGGCAGAGACGCCCACAAGTCTTCTTCACAGTCGAGTTGACTTGGCTGTCGAGTGTGTCCGTGTCGAGTATATATATATATGAGACTAATACCCACTCTATGCTCACATATCGTTTTCCGAGCCAACTGGCGTCTGTCTCTTTATCTTTCTTGAACTGCGCCAGCTCTTCTCAAAGTCATGCATTGCCCAGTTCTTCACCCAGTCAGACTCGAGCACTTCCGCGGCGCTGGCACGTTGTAGCGGGTCAACCGAGAGCATACGACGCATCAGACGCAAAAATGCCGATTTTTCCTCTACTGAAAAGGTGCCTGCTTTATGCCTTGTTCGAAATCCTTGTACAGTTTCGTCAAATACATCAGGCAGTGGATGAAAGGCATTTTCTCCTTGAATAGAATTTCCATTCTCGTCAAAGTAATTGTGCCGGTCTTTCCATACCGACCACCAGCGGGCTGGTAATGAACCTAAAACATCAACATTCTGTGCAATGAGCGCAGCTCGAGGGAGCTTCCAAAAAAAGGCCTGATACTGAAAAGTTCCCAAATAACAAGTCCAAGACACCAAATGTCAGCAGAGAAAGTAAATGGCGATGATGGCTCGAAATATGTTTCGGGAGGCTGGGCTGCCTTTTGTGATCGGCACTCCTCGCAAGGCCGAAAAGTTGAGGCCGGTGCAAATGATTCACCAAAGTCGACAAGTAGCAGATTAGTCTCTTCAAGAGAGACATTCCGGGCCGCCTTTCCGAGGTTGAGTGGGTATACGGCTTCCACAGGGAGATTTGGCGGCACGGGGGAAGAGTCAACGCGAGAGACCGTGATTGTCTGCGGACGGCCGTACTTTTCATAGAATTGGTCGACAGATAGCTCGCCAAGATTTGTTGGAAGTCGAAGCATCACATTGCCGAGATGTATATCTAAATGATGGACGACGCCAGGCGTTAGTTATTGCAGGTGAAGGGTGCGCGACACACGTCCGTGTAGCATACCTCCGTGGACATAGCCTCGGCCATGCATATATGCAATGGCCGACACGAGCTTGACTGCCAAAGCACGGGCTACATCTATCCTGAACATGCCAGAATTAAGAGATTTGTCAAGGTTGGACCCCGCCAGATCAGTTGTGTAACTGGGATGCTCTCCGTTGGGGCCGTGGATGGTGAAGTCATCCAGCAGGCGAGGGATGGCATGAAATCCGGACAAAGAGACAGGATTAGCTGGTAAGCTAGATCTCAAGTCCGAGAGACTTTTCATAATACTAATCTCGTGCATCCTCGATTTGGCCACTCCAATTTTGAGGGCGATGTACTCCTCCTGCTGCATGTCCCGCGCGACCCAAACAGTCGAGTATCCTCCATGACCAAGCTTGCCAACGATTGTATAACGCTTGTTGAGGATATCTCCAATCGTGATTGGATGGTAGCCGCCTTTATCATATCTGTCAATATTCTCCACCCCATCAATGTACACGTATACCTGACGGTACTCCTGTGCTGGCTTTTGCGCAGCCATTGTCGCGCCTGAGCTGGAATAGCATCGCTTAGTTTCTGACAAAAGTCTGCCGAGAAAGGGGGTTGTCTGCGGTTGACGAAATAGTATAGAAGTTTGTGTAGGCTGCGATAGAATACGCAGTGCTTTCATCGCCCGAGTTCGTGCCTAGTGAGCGCTGATGATGAAGCTTGCTTGTGGAGGAGAGGTTGATGCTCTGCTCCGCCTTGGCACTTGTGGGTCTCCCAATACTACACTATGGTCGAGGTATCTGAAGCAGAGTCGCAAAACCGGTAACAACGCTCTTAAAAAAAAATATAAGCTTTCCATGCGCGATCTGCGGTAAAACAGGTCTGCTTGTGGTCCATATCTTGAAGTGAGGGACAGTCTTGGGTGCATTTCAGCTGTATGGGGGCCAGATTATGGCTTCGAAGTTTGCATGCATTTGGTGGGGCTTGCATCGATCAGATACGACGGGTGGAAGAGGGCGCTTGTTAGATTGACAGAAACGCCTTACTTGTACTATTGCTTTGGTTTACTTTGCTTCTTTATAGGACACCAAAGATGCCAATCAATCTTTCTCTGCTCTGAATCAAGTTCTGTAAGTCTTTCTGTCATGGTTGCCATCATCCCAGAACTCGTATTACAGTGCTTGTTGCTCTTTACTTTCTCTTCCCTTCTCCTCTTCTTTCACCTTTTCTTTATTCCTCCAATTTTCAAGTCGGGATTTATCCATGCCAAATATTTCAACAGTTTGCACTAGGTCTCCTCAGCTTGGTCAAGTTTATACATACTGCCCCACGGGGTGCTACTACACGAGGCCGTCATGGTTGGCAGCCGCAGTGACGCTAACCGAATTGGGCAAGCTCTGCAACCCACTACATCCACTCACACACTCGCCCGCTATAGTTTACATGGGATCGCCTGTAAACTTGGCCAAAACCACTGAAAGGCTGCTGAAACACGCTGCGCTCGTCCCCCCTAAATGGCCCTGTAACAGGTAGCTCGTCCTGCCCTGGCAATGACGCTGCATCGGCCGACGGCAGGCGACGGCGCCATCTACCAATGAGGTCGCCAGCGCGTGTCGTGTCCTTTTGGCTCCCAACTTCTTCTCGACTCCCTTTCATCTCTCGCGCAAACTACCTTCGTGGATCAGCTGTCTCCAGCCGCCTATTATTGAATCTTGCACGCTATCATCAGCTTCCGCTCGGCTTCTCTGGATTCAATTCCGGTTTTGAAACTCCATTTCCAATTCAATCAGTCGAGCGGCCAGAAGCGCAAGCTTCCAATTCTTCCCACGATGACGCTCAACATCTTCCGCCTCGCTGGTGCGCTTCACCATCCCACCCCAGCTCTACACCCCCTCCTTCATTCTAATATGATTTGTAGCCGACTTTTCGCATCTGGCCAGCATCTTTATCTTACTGCACAAAATGGTGCAGTTAAATGTGCGTCCTCATACTTGCCCGAGCTCCCACCGCGCACCATCCGCTGACCACATCCAAACAGAGCTGCTCCGGCATCTCCTTCAAGTCGCAAGCTCTCTACCTCCTGGTCTACGTGACGAGATATCTCGGTTCGTCTCCTCTATCTTCCTTGAGCTCCATTGACTAGCCATTGACGCCCATGTCCGTCTCATAGATCTCTTCTCCACCAACAGCCTCTACAACTTCGTCTTCAAGATCCTCTTCATTGGCTCCCAGGGCTACATCATCTACCTCATGACAAACGCCTACAAGCCCACCAACGACCCCAATGTCGACACTTTTCGCGTCCAGTACCTCCTCGGTGCCGCCGCTGTCCTCGCCGTCGTCTTCCCCGTCCGCTACACCGCCATGGAGATTCTCTGGGCCTTTTCCATCTGGCTCGAGTCCGTCGCCATCCTGCCCCAGCTCTTCATGCTCCAGCGCACCGGCGAGGCCGAGACCATTACCACTCACTATCTCTTTGCCCTCGGCAGCTACCGCGCCCTGTATATCCCCAACTGGGTCTACCGCTACTTGGCCGAACCCAACCACAAGCCCGACTGGATCGCCATTGCCGCCGGCCTCATCCAGACCGTTCTCTACAGCGACTTTTTCTACATCTACTACACAAAGGTCCTCAAGGGAAAGAAGTTCAAGCTGCCCGTCTAAGCAGACTTTGCTTTCAATTGGTTTTGAGGCGGGCAGTTTTGCTGTACCAATCAACACAGTCCTCAGCCCAGCCACCAGGATCATGTGAGCAGCTCACCAACTCAACACGACACTCGAGACAAACGACAAAATGAAAGTCATCGATCTCCACCCGCAACACTTTATTGCACTCTATAGACGGCGTTTACGGGGACTCATTTGCTCGGACAAGGTCGCTCTGGACATGCCATGATGTGCAAGAGATTGTGGCCACGCAGCACCAGGGGAAAGGATGGACAATAAAAGTAATTCAAGTTCTACGATTTAAAAGCTCAAGCTTGATAATAAATACTTAAAAAGTAAAAGAAAAAAAAATTAAAAGTGCAAGAAAGCTTGCATGCTATAAATTATTGAATTGCATGGCTGCGCTGTCACAGTCACGTGAAAGTCTTGCATCGCGCCCGTGAGACTCTGACTCAACATGACGAAAGTCAACTTCGTTCTGCCCATCGCACATCTTTTCTACCCACCTCCATTAGCAAAACAGGAAGGAGTGTAGCATACGATATACCATAATGGCCAGCGACGCTCCCAACAACACTCAGCAGTCGGCCGCGCCCACCAACGGCCAGTTCGACGGTCGTCCGCAGCTCCCTCCTGCGGATTTGAAGCTACCGCAGCGCAAGGACGTTTCTCTGCGCGAGTTTCTCAAGAAGGTGGATGATTGCGCGCCCATTGTATGTCTTTTCTTCTCTCTATTCTTCGTTTTTTTCTATTCTTTCCCTCTCTATCGGTAAAACTGCTAACGCCATCGAAACACAAGATTCCCGACGCCGTCACGCAATACTACATGACCAAGGCCGGTCTGCCCCCTCCTCCGCAGACGGACCCGCGCCTGGCGCGCCTCCTCGCGCTCGCTACGCAAAAATTCATCGCCGACATTGCCGCCGACGCCTACCAGTACAGCCGTATCCGGGCGTCGAGCAACACAAACGCCAACAACCCCATGGGCTCGCTCGGCGCGGCCGCCGGCTTCCCAATCCCCGGACAGCAGACGGGCCAGCCGGGCAACAAGGACCAGGGCAAGGGCGCGCCGCTGGGGATCCAGCGACCCGGGTACGGAGGCGGCGGGCAGGGCGGCAGCCAGAACAGGACGGTGCTGACGATGGAGGACCTGGGCATGGCGGTGGGCGAGTATGGGGTCAATGTGAAGCGTAGCGAGTTTTACAGATAGGCGCGTTGAGGGGGGCAAGGTTTGAAGTTGAATGCGATGGCTGGGCATTTGAATGATGTTGCTTTTCGGTTTGGAATCATAACGAATTGGCGTTTTGGCGTTTGGTATCGGCTGGGGCAACTACCCGCCTGAATGAATGCTGACACGGGCAACTTGCGCTTCGTCTTTGAGTTTTATAGTAAATAAACCGTGTTGAACAGATTGAACAGGTGGCTTCTTTTGTTGGTCATTATGTATTCGTATTGATACAATGTGGTATTTGTACAGTGCGACTTTGCTTCCCTTCGCCGTTCCACCCTCTCCTCGCTCGCTTTTGCGCCGCTTTTACTTCTTGCCGTAGATGTTCGGTTTTCGCGTCCTGTCTCAGTCAATTAGTGACATGCCATGAGCCTTCCTTCCTCATCCAAAATACGTACGGCGCAAACTCGCCCAGCTTGTGCCCGACCATGTCTTCCGTGATGGCAACGGGCAAATAGTTCTTGCCGTTGTGAATCTCAAAGTTGAGCCCGACGAAATTCGGCAGGATCGTGGCGGACCGAGCCTGCGTGCGCACCGGAGGTACCTTGTCGCCAGCCTTTTTGGGCCACACAATGGGCAGACTGCGGTCGAGTAGGTGTTAGATGAGTTCAAGTCGTGTTTTTTTTTCGGGGTGTCATGGTCTTACGGCACGAGGTTGGGCCCTAAAGAAACGGTTTGGTTAGTGTGGCGTACGCATAATGAGCGATTGATTCGTGGCTATTCTTACCCTTCCATACGGAGCGCTTCAGGAGCAATCTTGTGGGCTGCATCGTGGCTGGTTTGGGACTGTACGGCGGATGAGGCCTGCAGGTTGGATCGACTTTGGCGCCGTTGCTGGTTGGATCTGAATCACGTGATGCCGTGGCTATTCCGCGTCGCCTGCCCGGCGTGGTTTAAAGTGTGATGGTTTGAATTCATTTGAATGATCTGGCATTGTAATGGGAGTGTTTGAGTGTTTTCAATTACTCGTTTGCTGCATTTTTAGATCTCAAATCAAGATGAGTCTGCCACCAGTCAAGGCTCCAAAATCTGAGGTAAGATCTCGAGTATGTCTCAATTGGTGGCAAAACGAACACGATTGTGAAAATATGACAGATGAACAAAAAAACACATTGAAAAGATCGCCAGTATAGCTGAGACGTGCGTAATCCATCGAAATCAGCTTCAATGATATTCGCAGGGTATCATCGGAGTAATTGCATCACGTGTGGTAGGCAACAGCGCCGCGTACGGAACGGCGTAGCAGCATTTTGGTCGAGCAACATGCCGATGTTACGATCTTACCGCAATTCTCCATAAATGAACCAGCCACTAATAGTGATTGTGCGAGGATAAAGTGATAATCACAAAAACCCATACTGTGCTCGTCGGCCCGTTGGCGTAATTGATGGCGCGGGCTGTCACGCCCCTGTTGACAACGCCGCCGGCCGGCTTCTGGACCCTTTGCGGCCGCTCCACTACGTAGTTCCCCGTTCTCCCCAAAGTCCGCCTTCAAGAAGCCACATCAACCAACAAAAACCACCGCCTGTCTGGCGTCTGAATCATTTGCTCTTGCATAGGCGGCCAATCTCACATCTTTGGAGGCTTTCAGCACGTTATTATTGACGTAGTGATTCTCGATATTTCCAGCGTTGATAGATTTTTCCTCGTCGATCCCTATCCACCTATTCAGCTCGACCGAGGATAACGCAGCCATCAACACCAAAGTAACGGAGAGAAAAACAGCCACGAAACACACGCCCACACACCACACGACCTATATAGGCACGGACAATTCGTGAGATGCCTGACGCAAAGGCCTCCGGGGCCGACACGGGCGGTGGCGGCGCCGCCCGCGCCCGCGACCACAACCAGGGCAATCAGGGGCGGTCGTACACGGTCGAGCAAAAGGCGGCGGTGCTGCGAATCCGGCGTTGTGACGCGACGGCCTTTTATGAGATCCTGGACCTCGAATCGGTGCGAGCAACGTGCACCGAGAGCGAGATCAAAAAGGCGTACCGCAAGCAGTCGCTGCTGACGCACCCGGACAAGAACGGGCACGAACACGCCGACGAGGCGTTCAAGATGGTCAGCCGTGCATTTGGCGTGCTCGGCGATAAGGAGAAACGCCAAAAGTATGACCGTTTCGGCACGGACCCGGATAGCCGCTTCGCGAGCGCGCAGGCGCAGAACCCCTTCTCCGGGTTCGCCTCGAGGCAGGCATCGGGTGGTGGGCGGCCAGGCGGTCCCATGGGTGGTGGTGGTTGGGATGAGGACATCAGCCCCGAGGAGATGTTTGCAAGATTCTTTGGTGGTGGCGGCGGCTTTGGAGGCTTTGGCGGCGGCGGCGGCGGCGGAGGTACGACCGACTTTACTTTCCATTCACAGATCCTCTGCTGACATGATACCCTCCAGTCTTTGATACGGGCCCTCAGTTTGTCTTTAACTTTGGTGGCGGCCCCGGCATCCGCGTGCATCAGTTTGGCGGCGCGCGGCCTCGCGGACGCCCGCGCGACACGCAGAATCAACCCGAAGAAGGAGCGCAGGGCAGCGGCCTCCAGAACCTCATCGGCATCCTGCCAGTCCTTCTCTTCTTTATCCTGCCGCTGCTGACGTCACTCTTTGGCGGAGACGGCGGCCCGGCGACGCCCAATATGACGTTTGATAGCCCAAGCGCGCCGTACACGCACATGCGGACGACGCCAGTACACGGCATCAAGTATTTTGTGCGGGAGCGTGATATTCGGCAGTACACGAAAGGACAATTGGGGGAGTTGGACCGCGCGGCGGAGCAGGGCGCGCTGCACCAGATTCGCAGCGGTTGCGAGAGGGAGCAGGCGACGCAGCGACGGATGCGCGAGGACGCGATGGGGTGGTTCTACCAGGACGAGGTCAAGATGGCGCTGGCGAATGCGCTCGAGATGCCGCACTGTAAGCGGTGGACGGCGCTGGTGGAGAAGAGCAAAAAGGGTAAATAAAGAGGGGATAATGAGAATAGAGAGGAAAAGCCGCGGACGTGAGTGGCTTGTGGTGGAATGAAACTCTGTTTGAAAGTATATTGCGCTGTATGAAGGGATTGAATGGGCAAGTTCACGGCGTTGTTCATGGCGTTTTTGTGTATTCTTTTTTTACTTTACAGAGACGTGTGTCTTGTGTGTGTTCTCTGCATAGCATTGGGTGACGAGCCCGAACCGAGTTGGGCCCTTGAAGAAGCATATAATACATTGTCATGGGATGCGAGAGGTGTCGTCTTGAATATACATGTGAATCGTTCCTAGATGCGTAATAGGGAATCGCAGCACGTTGTTGGTCAAGGAGGGATGTGGCGTCATTGATGGCTGACGATGTTGGCTTTTAACCTTTTTTTTTTTTTTGCGATCAGCCTGATTGGGCGCAGGGCGTCGGACTCGACAAAGGGAATCTAGACCCCGGAGCAGCCTTTCAAGTGGCACAATGGCAGTGATAAAAGTGTTTTTTTTTTGGTCTTTCTTTCAGAGAGCGGCCAGTCGCATCTCGTCGCATTCATGCGGGTACGTGGTGCGGGCGTTACGTATGTCACTCGGTGCTCGGCGCTTATAAGTTGAGGCCAGCCCCGCCTGTAGATTCAGCTTACTGTATTTGTTTGCAGATGTTGATATTTCGAGAACTGTCCCCTACCTATGAAAATGGTGAATTCTTAGAATGCTTTCTTTGAATAATCTCTACTAGATGTTCACTATATTTAGAAGCCAAGCCCTCGGACATTGACTAATTGGAGTTTGACTTTTTCCAGTAAAAAGTTCTTGATACTTGTCTCAGTAGGCCCACAGTCACCCATAGAACCCGCCCGCCCGCCAGCCTTGTGGTGCTTGCCGCTGCTCGCAGATCCCATTACAACGCGCCTCAACCTAAGGTACGTAATAAAATATTATTAGCTGCCGCCACAAGAACTTTATATCAGCTTGTGCGCTTCAGAAAGCATATTTTTTCAGACTATATTCTATTTCTCTGTTGCTGCTATGATCATTTTTAAAATTGAGTAGCTACAAATACTGAAACGTTCCCTCGAACAGCCGCCTCTGTTGTGCACACTGTCGTCATTGGAGGCGCAGCATCCTTTCCCCCCTCGTCCTCTAGCTCTTCGACAAAACACCATCCAAGATTCTATCCAGTAAAAACACACCCAAAACATTACAATCAGCAAAGACATTACAATCAGCACTGAGCTGACAAGAGCGGCCATGGTGTCGGTTCAAACCTCCGGCGAAGGAGCGCCCGCCGGCCAACTGACCCAGCTCCCCCCACCATCGACACAACCGCCCACGAACGATGCCACGAACCCGTGGGCGGCCACCACACCAAACCAACACAGCCAACAGCACAGCTCTGATGCCGCCGAGCTGCACCGTAAACCGGTTCCTCCCAGCGCGCTCCAGCCAGGGCTCGGCAGCAGCACCCCGCAGCCGCCCGTTCCGCAGATCCAGCACCACCACGACATGGGCCTCACCACGGCGAGCGGCGCCAAAGAAGACGACAGCAGCGACAAGCGACCCGCCGCGCCGATGGAGCGCATACCAAGCATCCTGCGCCCCGGCGGCGGCAAGTCGTTCAGCTCAAACCCGTTTCGTAATAAAACCGGCATCGGCGCTGCTGCGGCCCTGACCCCGGCAGAGGCCATGTCCACGATGCGTCTCGACTCGACGACCAACGACCCTTGGAACTCCGCGATTTACACACAGCCCACCGGGGCGACCAACATCTCGCAAGACTCTCGCGTCCAGCAGCAGTCTGTGCCATACTCCACGTTGCAGCCGACACCGTGGAGCTGGGCACGGCCCATCGGGGCGACCAACGTCTCGCAAGACTCTCGCGTCCAACAGCAGGGCCTGTGGAGCAGGCATGATGCCGTAGAACTGGATGCGACGTCGTCGTTGTACGTTCACCCGTCGGAATCGCTGGGAGTGCCTACGCCCGAGGGGCAGTCTATCTCGGGCGACGAAGCGCAGAATATAGTCAAGAGTCTGGCAGACCCGCAGGGTAATTTGGTGAAGCCGGCCGACGAGTTTTCGCACATTTTCGACGACCAGCACACGTGGAACGTCTTGGGACGCACGCCAGGAATACAGAGGAGCGCGACGATCAAGACAGCCGGGGAGGACTCGGACCAGGATGACTGGAACATTATTGAATCGGGAGCGTCGTCGATCGCGGGTGATGCGGAGGGGATACCGGCGAGTGATGTGCACAAGGCCAAGACGGAGGTCCCGAGACCGCTGATACCTGGTATGGGAGCACCGGCGGCCAGTGATATGTGCAAGGTAGAGACGGAGATCCCGAGACCGTCGACTTCAGTTGCGAGTGCATCGAAGGTTCCTCATACTGATACACCAGAGGCGCCGGCAGGCCCGCGCTCCTCGACCCCTTTTGTTGACGCATTGTCTATTCCTCAGGACGAAGCCAGAGCCGAAGATGAACGGAAAGAACATAAAAACGAGGTCTTAAGAGATGCAGAAATTGAACATCTCGGGCATCAAGCTACGAAAGAGACAAAGATGGAAATAAATGATACCCCAGAGAGGCCACCACTCCCTCCTACGCTACATGAATCACGAAACGAACAAAATTCAGAAGAACTTCTCATCGAGCCCATCGGCTACGAACCGCCAGTGCAAGCCCCACAACCGCATCACCCACCGCAAACTGGAGGCTTGTTACCCAAGCAGCAAGACGAGCGGCCTCCGTTGCCGCCACGGCAGACGGAGACAACGCAAAGGTGGTCTGCTTGGCGCCAACCTGTGGATGGCGAGGCCGAGACGTACCAGATCAAGAAAATCCGCTGGAACGACCCTGCCTACAACAACGATTCGCGCGTTTCTCCCATCCTGGTGCAAAATCAAAATGGGCCCTGCCCGCTTGTTGCGCTTGTAAATGCGCTCAGCCTGACTACACCACCAGACATCTATGAAATTACTCTTGTACACATTCTTTACTCGCGAGAACGAATCTGCTTGAATCTGCTGCTCGACGCCGTATTGAACGAGCTCATGTCGCCGCGCCGTACCTCATACGAGGACGCACTCCCTGATATGAATGAGCTGTACGGGTTCCTGCAAAGCTTGCATACCGGCATGAATGTCAACCCACGCTTTATCCCCACGCCAGAGCTAGTTGAGGCTTACAGGAGAAGCTCTTTGACCAACCTGGACCCCAAGGACCGAGATACCCTGATGCCGGGGACGTTTGAAAATAGCCTGGAAATGAAGCTTTATGCGACTTTTTCAATTCCGCTCATCCATGGCTGGTTGCCTGCAAAGTCGGACCCCGCATATGATGCCTTTGAGCGACAAGCAGCAACGTACGAGGATGCGCAAAATCTGCTCTTTCGGGAAGAGGAGCTAGAGGCCAAGCTGGTGGATTCGCAAAGCGGCTTGTCTGGCCAAGAGCAGCAATTATACCAAGACATCATGGCCATCAAAATGTTTATGATCGAGTCGGCAACGCAGCTTACCCCTTGGGGTATCAAAGTCATTAGCGAAGCGATTCGCCCCGGAACGTTTGCCATTCTCTTCCGCAACGATCACTTTAGCACATTGTACTGCCACCCAATTACGATGAAGCTACTGACGCTCGTGACCGACGCGGGGTACAGCTCCCACGATGAAGTGGTGTGGGAAATCCTCGAGGACGTCAACGGCGAACACTCTGCGCTGTACTCGGGCGACTTTCGACCTGTCGGCTCACCGTGCCACGGCAGCCCCAGCGCAGGACCGAGCCGAGGTAACTACGACACTAGCAGCGACTGGACGAGCGTGCAGAATAAACGCCACGGTAAGAACCGCCAGGTAGAATCAAACGACATGAGCATGTTTTACATGTCGCCCGGCGCGAACCACGAGCTGGAGGACCACGACTTGGCGCTCGCGCTGCAGCTGCAGGAGGAAGAGGAGCAAAACCAGCGCGAGGAGCAGGAGCGTCAGCGTCATGAAGCCCACCTCTCGGAACAGGTTCTCGAGCCGCAAGGGCGTCAGCGGTCGCCACACATGCAGCGCGCCATGCGTCGTCGCTCCAGCGCCGCCGCCAGACGACCGCCTCTGCCATCGCGCGGCAGCTCCTCCAACAACGTCAACGGTCGTCGGCGGCGCAGCGGCGACGCACCGCCGCCGAAGCCCCCGCGGCCGCAGACGCAGAATGTTCGGCCGCTAGTGCCTCCCGCCACGGCGACGGGGGGTAGCGGAGAGGCTCCGCCGTCGTATGAGGCGGCGCAGCACGATAGACGCTACGTGCCGGGACAGGGACGAGGAGGAGGCGGTCCAGCGCCGGGTGGTGGTGTTGGTGGTAGTCATCCGATGCAGGGACCACCGCTGCCGGGTGCTCATGCGCCCGGACACGTGGGAAATCATAGACCGCCGGGATTCCCGATGGGAGGAAGGCTGAATCAGGGTCCGGGCAGGGATAGAAGTCGCGAGTGCGGAGTCATGTAAGACGGGCGGACGTTGTGTTCATGTAACGGTATTGGAAATTGGGCAAGTCAAGACGACAGTGGCGTTCGGAGTTTTCTTTCTTTTTTTCTTCTTTTTTCCTTTTTGTTTCTTGTTAGTTAAGTCCTACACGCGCCATGCACCTACCATCCCGGGAAGATGGGTGTGCGGCATGTGTAGTAGGTATGCAACGTTTTTATTCCATGGCATTTAACTATACACGAGACCACATCACCTGCACGATGAAGCCAAGCGACGAGTCGGCAGTGCAGATAATCATAATTTAAAAAAAATTCAATCATCATGCAAAGCAAAATCAAGTACATGTATATATCTGCAAAGCAGCTTTCTGTGATTCGCTTCTCTCGGCCGATGGCGCTAATGAAACAAGAAAATTGAAACCGCGGGCGCGGCCCGGCCAACTGCGGCAACTCCACCAAGGATGAGAGCGAAGTGCTCCTGAGCTTCGACGACGTCGCGCCTCTCATCATGACGTTCTTCATTTTCGCAACAAACAACACGCACGAAAACCAAGCGGACCAGAAACAACTCCCACCTCCATTACGCAGATGGTTTTGTAAAGGTCCAATATACATAAGTTCATTCAAGTGTTTTTCTGGTAGCGCCGTTGTTTCAAAAATCAACCACCAAAAATCAAAACAACTTATCACGCTTCCCCCCCCCCTTTCTCCTGCCCTCACCATGGCGATTGTACAGGGCTGGTTGCCGCCGACGCGGGAAAACTACGAGACTCTCGTCTTAATTTGGCAGTTTTTCTATCCCCTTGTACGTCTCTTTTATTTCTCTTGTCCATCTTTCTCATCCCGAAGCTCTCATGTCTTCTCCCTAAGAAAGTTGCAACGCTGACTTGAACATCTTACCCCCCACCAGATGGGCTCCCTGCAATGGGTCATTAAATGGTACGGCATGGGCAAGACTTCGGTCCAAAGCTCATTCAACATTCCCGGCCGGGTCGCTTGGATGACCATGGAGGCGCCGGGTTTCCTGACGTTGCTGTACATCATGAATACTCTTCCCCAGGAGCACGGCATCGACGACCTTCCCTGGCAGAATCGCGTCCTTGGCGGTCTCTTTGTACGTATCGTCCCGCCTTTTCCCATCCAGTCCAGATATGCTTATCGATGACGATACTGATACGCGAGCTTCTCACCAGGTCATTCACTACATCAACCGCGCTATCCTCTTCCCCCTCATGCAGCCCTCCATGGCCCCCATCCACTTCATCGTCTGGGCCGCTGCCCTCAGCTTTCAGCTCTGCAATGCCGTCTGCCTCGGCTCCTGGCTCTCCGCCTACGGAGCCGTCACCTCGTCCGCGTGGCTCGCACAGTCGCCGCTGCCGCAGTTTGCCTTTGGCCTTGCCCTCTTTTACGTCGGCCTCGCCGGCAATTGGTTCCACGACGAGGAGCTGCGCGAGATCCGCCGCAAGGAGCGGCGCCGGCAGGAGCGCCTCCGCGCGGCCTCTGGCACATCATCATCAACATCATCATCTGTCAAGGTGGAAAAGCATTACGAAATTCCGCAGGCAGGGCTGTTCAAATACATGCTCTACCCGCACTATCTGCTCGAATGGATCGAGTGGCTCGGGTTCTGGGTCGCAGCGGGATGGAGCTGTGCGCCAGCGCGCGCCTTCTTCGTGAATGAGGTGCTGTCGATGCTGCCGCGCGCGGTAAATGGGAAGAAGTGGTACACGGACAAGTTTGGTGAAGATAAAATCAGAAAGAAGTGGGTAGTCATTCCGGGTGTCTGGTGAGCGCGTGCGCAACGTTGTGTGTTGGTTGCCTTGTTCAAAGGGGGGTGTGCGACTCACATGGTACAGCACAGTGTATCAGTATTCGGCTTGATGAGGCTGATAACCATCGTTCTTAATTTCACGACAAAGGAACTGTGAGCGCCATCGCTCTGCGCCGACCTTCCTGTGCCAGGTGTGCCATGTCTTTATTAGCAGCAATTATCCAAACAGTACCAGAGTCTCTGTATTGTATGAGACGGCAGAGTGATGGTGCCCATCATACTCTGCATTAACGCGGACCCTCGCCAAATTGGTCGCTAGTATAGATGAAATCTCTGCTTAATGCGGTAGAACATTGGCGAGCGAGATGGTAGTGGCTAGTGAAGAATCCGCTTGGTGCAACCTGCATCTTTAGATGGGAGTGCCGAGAAGATGCGGAATAAACAGACAATAAAGCTTTGTCGTTGAATAGAAGTTTGGGGTTGAGAAGGAACCAGAAAGTCCTACCTGTGACTGTCGTGTGTAGTCTGGCAATACTGGTAGACACCTAGCAACTTTGGTATGACCTGGCACCTGTAGGTGCGCATCTTGCCCTACCACTCAGCTCCGGCTAGAGATGGCTGGAAACACTGCAGATGGGCCATCAAAATGAATGAAAGACTGTCGAACTTTGTCAACTTTTTGTTTCGCTTTGGCCGCCTACGACGCCCAGCGAGCTCAACCAGCAGTTCTTGTTAGGTAACTTGGTGCTCTCTGACCCCAGCAACATGGCGGTGAAAACAGGCCCCGTCGCCGATGTCCCGAAAACGACATGGCGGGCACTATTGCAGGTCGCTGACGGCTCTATCCAGACCAAGGTCGCATTGCGGTGTACAGTGGCTAGTGCTCCATCCATACCCGCCCGAATCATGCCGTCGAGGTTGAGCCTATGTATGAAGACACAAAAGGCTGCTCGGCGGCTTCGCAACCTTGGTCATGTTTCCAAATTTAGGAAAACATTTCACTTTGCTGGTGGAGGAACCTAGAGCAAGGCTGCTGGTGTAAGCAGTTGTGGATAAGAAATCTGCCAGTGGCAAAAACGTCTCAGCCGTGGCAGCAGCGGAACCGCACCAGATCAAGGCCAGATTTTCCAAGGAAATCCCGAAGTCAGTAGACAATAGGATCGTTCTATTTCGGGTTCAATTGATATCCCATCTCCTCACGTGATTCATCGTGGCTGTACGAAGTACTCATCATGGTCCCGAAGTGCATAATAGTCCGACTCCGCTCTACTGAGTAATGGCACAACAAAAGGACTACAACTTGCCAACGGATACCGACAAATTCAAGGCAACTCGGATGTTGTAGTCACCTACTTTGGTTAGTGTTGAGCGGCAGGGCCACTCTCCAGCGGATGCAGCAGTAGCTAATGGTGCCTCGCCGGTAGTGCTGATGGTGGGCATGAAGGCGACGATCTTTTGGCCAAGGCAAGCAAGGATGCAACTAGTGCGAGCTTGAGGTTGGATCTGCAGAGCATGAACATTGATAAGGTGCCTAAATTAGCAGAGTCAGAAGACGAATGGCACAGCCAAGACATTCTAGACATGGTTCCCCGCCATGTCGAAATGCTAGAGCTGCAGAACTGGTGTCTGTTTGGGCTCGCTGACGCCATTTTTTTGTCGTCTTGCCTGACGGTGATGGTCAACTTGGTGAGCTGAACACGTCTTGTATGTCTTGTCAACAGCTGGTTGGTTTCGGCGTGGATTCATCTCATGTAGCCAAGATTTTCGAGACATGGCGGCGGAAGAAGCGCAAGGTACGTGTCGTTTGCGTACTAATATACGGCTCTCGCGTTGACCAGGACAATGGCGTGCAAGCCAGGGCCGTGTCGATTTGCGTGCTAGGGACTAGCGTGGCGAAGAAGGACCGGGCGCAGATTGTGGTAGACAGAGTGAATCATCTGAATCGTCCCGAAAGGGCCAAATGCGACAATGAGCGACAGTAATTTGATAATGGGCATATCAAAAGTTAGCAAACGAGGAGTCGCATCACTGCCAAGACGAGGAAGTCGCCCGTCAGCGCAGACCAGGCAAGTCAAGCTTAGTTGGTGGTGATGCAGCAAGGCCAGTCAGCCACATCAGGTAGCGCGGCATGATTGGTTGGCGAGTCCCGAAATGCATGGTACAAGGGTCGACAGCCGTTCCTTTCCAGGATAATACGGTGCAGATGAATACTCAGCTCGCCTGGCCACGGCAAGGTTCCGAAGGAGCGCCAGAAATAGGATCAAAGTGCATCTAAGAGGCAGATTTGTCGCGATGTAGCTCTGGCCGAGCGAGGTGAGATGGAGAGGAATGGCAACAAACGCCGACAGTAAACGGAGAGGCAAATTTGCCAGCTGCGTGCCGCGGGCAGTCAACTGCCGAGCCATGAGTTAGCCGGGCGGTTGCCGGCAGTGTCTCAGTATGACAGCACTGTGCGAGAATAGTAAGACGGGTCAAGAGTCGCTGAAGGGCATAGTAGAAGTCTTATTGTTTTAATGTTTGAGAAAGTGAAAATTGTTAATTCCAGGGCCAATGACCGAGCGTTGCGACATCCTGAGCATGCCTCATTATACAGTTGCGTGAGCAATAACTTCATAAGAGTGAAGCATGTGGATGAGGCGTACAGTGTCGCACAGTCTGTTATAAGCTAATCGTGGCTAGGGCCATAACGAGGGGTCTTGGTGTGGCTGCTGCGGCTGGATGCATGTACCCAAGTATGTCCGGACTCGTTACCGCCAGAGAGCCAACAACTACTGGGCCACTGAAAGACGAGGTCGAGACTAACAAGTGGTAGTAGAGGCGCAGTATGATTCTTGACCGTCTCGTCTAAGAATATCGCCGCAGACTGTATGCTGCGGTTTCCCGTCTACTTGTCCCTCGACGTAGGTCAGCGTCCATGGCGGCTCTCGCACGTTGGCCGCCCACCCTTGAATGGCGCTCCTTCCCCAAACCGGCCGCGACCCAAAACTCTTTTTTCGACCAGATTGCCAGAGTACCTCCGTACCTCGCTCGCTCACTACTCTCTTCCAGGTACTTCTTGGTCTCCTTGTGACCGTCCACTCACTTCTGCCAACTCTCAACTCCTCTTTTGCATCGCCAATTCTCGATTCGCTTTCTTCATCGCGCCATCGCCTCACCATCGCCTTGCCGGCCCTCTCTCACTACACCCGCATCTTCCTCGTTATTCATCTGGATTATAGCGCACGAGGCATCCCTGCGTCCGCCGCCCAGCTTTATCACCACTCTCGCTTTCGCCGCTTGCTTGCGCTGCCCAAAACACCACCACCACGCCACCACCGTACAACCACCAAGACACCAACCACAAGCCAGTTTAGTGCGCGCTCTTCGTCGGCTTTCACCTCGGTGCGGGCGGAGCGAGCCGCTTCGCTGTCACAGTCAAAGTCGCAAGAGTCATCGTCAATCTCAACCGTCAATGATTCCTAGTCTCGCTCAACGCTGGCCGCCAGACTATTAATCATGTTGTGGCCCCTTCCTTCCAGATCAACCACTTCTTCCCTGCAACCGCGCAGCATGATCCCCAAAATCACAAATCTTTACGCCATCTGCGGTCTATGTACCCTCGGCGGTTTGTTGCAGGGTTTTGGCGTCTCATCCCTGTCGGCAATCCTGGCAACATGGCAGGTAAGTCGATGTCAAACATTACAATGTTGACCTTGATGACTCTAACAAAAGATACAGTACAAAGACTACTTTGACAACCCAGAATCAGTCACACAAGGTGGCATCATGGCTTCGTTGGCTGGTGGTTGCTTAGTTGGTGCCCTCTTTTCCTCTTATATAGGCGATCATCTAGGCCGTCGAGACTCCATGATGGTAGCCTGCGTCATCTTCATTGCAGGTTCCATTGTCATGTGCGCTGTCCAAGATAAGAACATGCTTATCGTTGCTCGAGTTGTCAATGGCTCTGGCGTCGGCTTGCTCACCAGTCAAGGGTAAGACTCATCATCTTTCGTCGCATCGAGATCAATGCTGACTTGTTCAGGCCTATCTACATCGCGGAAATGAGCCCGGCCAATATGAGAGGCCGGCTCATTGCCATGCAGCAGTGGATGATTACCTGGGGCGTATGTACATTGCGTGCACTTCATTTTTCGGCGGTCGCTCTAACAATTCATTAGATTCTCATCATGTACTACGTCTCGTACGGAGCCTCTCGCATTGATTCAACTGCCGCTTTCCGACTACCGTGGGGTCTGCAGATTATTCCTGCCTTGACTCTACTTTGCTGTCTGCCTATGATGCCAAGATCCCCACGCTGGCTCGCCACCAAGGGCCGTTGGGACGAGGCCCTTGAAGTTTTGGCCATGGTTCGCGCCAAAGGAAATCAAAGTGACGCAAACACTCTTGCCGAGCTGCAAGATATAAAAGATAGAGTCGAGTAAGAAACGAGACTACTGTTACACGCCACCACTCACTGACACTCGCCCCAGGCAAGAAAAAGGTTACAAGTCTACCTCATGGAGCGAGTTGTTCAATCGTCGCAACATCATCCGACTTCACGTTGCCGTCTTCACCCACATCTGGTCGCAGTATAGTGGTGTAAATGCCCTCATGTACTATATCGTCTACATTTTTCAGATGGCCGGGCTCTCGGGCACGACGAATCTCACCATTTCCAGCATTCAATATGTCATCAACGTTGTCATGACCGTACCGACGCTGCTGTTTTCCGACAAGTTTCCCCGTCGCAGAGTCATGATGACTGGCAGTTTTCTAATGGCTATCTTGCATTTCACCATGGCTGCCGTCATGGCTACCAACGGCCATCCCGTTCCCGGCGGGCTCGAGGGCACACCCACTGTCACCTGGACACTATACGCGGGACGCGCAAGCCAGGCCATTATCGCCTGCAGTTACATTTTTACCGCTACATATGCATTGACCTGGGGTCCGATGGGTTGGATCTACCCCTCCGAAATCATTCCGCTCTATATCCGATCCAAGGCCGTCTCGCTTGCGACTCTATTCAATTGGGGCTGCAATTTTAGTTTGACCTTCTTCACCCCAACGGCGTTTCGCAACATTCAGTGGCGTTTTTATATCATATTCGGGTCATTTTGTGTCGGCGCCTTTGTTCACGTCTTTTTCTTTTTCCAAGAGACGCAAGGCCGTTCTTTGGAGGAAATGGATGACATTTTTGACAACAACACCTTTGCCTTTGGAAAGATAAAAAACGACGGTCACGAGTTTCGAAAACGCGTACGAAAAGCGGGAGAAAGGTTTGAATACTCTCCACCTACGTCAGAAGTAGCCGAGCTGGGGCTCTCTGACAGGAACTAGACAACAATGATACCACAGGGCGCGCGCCCGCTGCAGATTTATGAGTTTATCTTGGTTCGAATCATCATTACATTGGCGTTTTTGTATTAGATTTGCATGGCAAGGGAGGCTTGAACCGGAATTGGTTGCAATATAAGGGTTACGGGTTATCCAGCACCCGCATAATTGATTCTACTCGGACAAATCATGGCTCTATGACTTTCACGTGAAAGATTTATTCAGTTAATCGTATGGGCTAGTCCTTTCCAACTCGATTTGTTCGATAGCCTCTGCGGATCCTGCAGCAATGTGACACTGGTAAATTGTTGTTTCTTCCTGTTCGTCTCGGTAGTTTAAGTTTGGTAGATCCAAGATGCTTGCCTCGTTACGGGAAGCCCGAGTTGGGACTGCGCAGAGCATGCACTCTTCAGACCAGGTAGGTCGGCCATCTTCTTATTTTTTTTATTGGATAAATGAAAAAAGCAACAGTTGATAATACATAGTCTTGGTCTTTCATCGACGGCAAGACTCGATTTATACACTACAAATTTCCGGACAGACATCAGGCGCATATCGGAAGCGCGCCAGACCACATGTCAACCAACAGAGACAGGTATACTGTGAATGATTGATAATTTCACTTGTCTTTGAAACTATCTTGTGGCCAAGCAGCAAATACAAAAATAGCCGACAGAAGCTCTGATAAGCCAGTAAGCTGTCTACTTCCCTGGCATCGTAAAAGTCATGAAACATCTTCAGTTGACAAGGTCTGTCTGCTTCCTTATATCGTACAAGTCAAAAGAACGGTGGATCACATCAGTGCGGTATTTCCCTTGGTAAAGTCTTCTGTTTTGATTCTCATTAGGCAACCCACCCAGACTGGTTCCGCCAGCGCCTCAAAATCTTTCCATCCCTTTTTTTTGGATAATTGCTTCACTTGTTTCCTCTTCATTCCTGAACTAGAACCCAAAAAAATAAAGAAAAAAGACCGACACCCCTTAGAAGAAAATAACGACCTACAAGGTCAAAAGTTAAAAAAAAAGGCAAGCACATCCCAGCATTTTCCGTTTCCACACGGCCTAAAAACAAAAACAACACACAAGATCAAGCAAAGAAAAAGTCGATACAAGCAGGGTATAACAAAGCAGCGCGTGGTAGCCGCTTATGCTTCGAGGGTCTTGTTCTTCTTCTTCTGTTCAACCTTGAGTAGCAGTGCGCGGTTAATGTGCGGCAGCACACCACCGTAGGCAATCGTGGCGCGGATCAGGGTGTCGAGCTCTTCATCACCACGAATGGCGAGCTGAAGATGTCTGGGGGTGATGCGCTTGACCTTGAGGTCCTTCGCGGCGTTCTGCAGCAAGTGGTTAGCGAGGAACCCAGCGAGAGTGTGCCGGAAATTGAAAAACGTACGCCAGCCAGCTCAAGAACTTCAGCGGTGAGATACTCAAGAACAGCGGTAACATAGACGGCAGCCTTGGCTCCGACACGCATCTTGCTCTGTGTGTTTTGCTTCAAGAATCGCTTGACACGACCGCAGGGGAACTGTGCATTGAACAATTAGCATTGTCATTTGAGAAAGTGACCTGAAAAGTTTGCGCAAGCTTCGCCAAAGGCTCGCGATGCGATTGCACGAGCCCCACTCGCCCAAAGACTCCCGCCGCTGCCTAGATCGAAGTCATCGACCGCAGGCGCGGCAAACGTCGCGCATCGAATTCATCGCCGCGGGAAGCTCAAATCGCGTTCTGCAAAGAGGAGAGTGTGCATTTCCCGACGCAGAATAGCTTGGTGACGCGTCTCGGATCGATGGGCTGGCGACAGTCGCGGGTGTGGCAGGCCTCTCGAGGGGTTGGCACAATCGGGGGCGTGCGCGACTGTTGGCAACGGGCGCCATAGAGGAACGAGAAAGAATCGATGCAAATTCTCCCATTCGCAATGCAGTTCCGGGATTCAATAGGCTTACCTGAAGGCCTGCACGCGCAGAGTGGCTCTGCTGCTTCTTCTGGCCATCGGCGGCGCTGGTCTTGCCGCCAGAGCTCTTTCCGCCAGAGGACTTTCCCTTGCCGCCGGGCATTTTGACGATAATTTCGAGTAGAGGAAAAAAATTGGGTAAATTCGTAAAGTCGAGCGATGATGCGACAAGAGGATGCGCAACCGATTTGTCAATAATAATCTGAATGCCAATGGTTTGGTAATGCGATGGAGGGGGGGTCTGTTGATGAAGGAGTAGCGTTGGTGCAGGACGTGGTGGCGGGCGGTGTTTACGGCAGAAATTTAGCTCGGTGCAAGCTGGCGTAGCTGATTCTCAATGTTGTTGTTTGGGGCGCTGGTACCTAGAGGGGAGGCGGCGCTGCTGCTAGTTACTGCTGCAAGGCCCAGCAGGCTTGGTTGTTTGGAGCATCATTGGTTTGTCCAATCAGAAAACGTCATTGTTATCCAGTAATGCGCCACGAGTGGCTAGTGCCTTTTCTGCGCCAACTGTTGGCGCAAGCCGAAGATTCGCCGTGACGAGGCGCCCAGCCCAGGCAGAAAGGCACCCAGCTGGGACAGAAGGCAGCAGCGGTCGCTTTGTGAGATGTTACCTCATTTTCTTGTTCGAAAAGGGGGGGCAAGTGTTGTCGAGCGTCGGTAAATTCGTCTTCTTCGCTGCAGGGCGGGGATGGCCGTGGCACCTCTGGCGTGTGCTGTGTTGGCTTGGTAATGCTGCTGGAGACTTGCTGTTGGGGGGGCGCCCAGTACGGCAGCCCATAGCCGGAATTCATCAGCCAGACATATCGTATCGCGACTTACGAGGCAATGTCTTCGTCAGAAGGCGCGGCTTTACTGATGCCATCGTTGCTGCCTTGTTGTGCATTGGACGGTGACAAAGGTCGACATATCGAACATGAATGTGGTGCTGCTTGAGCACCGCAATGGAGGCACAGTGTGTAATTGCCCCACTATTGCAGCCACCTGCTGTGGCTGGAGTGAGGTGCAGCCACATCTGTCGTTGGCCTAATGAGAAGTTCACAAATGTAAACATTGCATGCTCTCCACTCCCGAGACACGCAAAGTCTGCAACTGGCATCTGGCTGGCATGTTTCGCGCGATACGAGATGCTGTTGGCCTGCGGGTTCGTTTCCTTTTGTGCTAAATGGCGCGATTCGCCGACTGGCAAGCAGATCGTGGGTAGATCTGTCTTTGCGACACGGCTTACGGCGAGGTTACAGCATCTGTAGCACGACATTGAGGTAGCCGAGTTTACAGCATGACACTTGTCGCGACACAACTTTTCCTTCGCGAGCTTAGCCTAAAGTGACAGCCGCACGTTATTCGGTAACTATGTATATGTACATAGCGGTCGTTGGTTCTCTGCAAGCATCTCGATGCTCTACCGCCCAACAGCCTACCCTGCAGGCATAGGCGCCTTGCGAGATCGACTCTCATGGGCCAAGAGCGCATGGGTCCAAGTAGCCACACATGCACAGGGACTGAAAGAAGAAGGAGACACATGTAATGGCATCAGCCGCCCACTGGGCCCGCGCGCTTGATTCAAGCCAGCTTCTGCTCGCTGAGCCTGCCTACGATACGCTGCGACGAACAGCTCATTATGAAAGTCCCTTGGGCATAATAATGCCATCATGACCTACATGCGTTGGACTACCACCTCACAGGTGAACAGTCCACGTTATCTCAGCAGCATCGTGTATTCATATCTAATACCACCTGTCATTAGCTTAATATGCGGAGTCGATGGTGACAGCTTGAAAGTCCCATGCCTACCCCTGTTCTTTCGTCTGTAGCACGCGGCTAGCCAAGACTGTGTGGCGGACCGCCGTGCAGCAAGTCTTCTGAGCTGTAAAATAAGGCAAGAGTACGGCTTAGGTGACAGCTAGCTTTATCTAGATGACCTCTAATCTGCAAGATGACAACTGAAGTTCTTACCGTAGAGTATTGACAATACCGAGTCACGAGTCTGCGAGCAGTGGAGTTGGGAATCAGCCTCAAGAGAATAAATAGATCACACGAGACTAACAAACGTCGAAGGAACAAAAAGGGGTCCAATTCAAACCGACCAGCAAATGGTGGATCTACTTTCACAAAGACCAGGTCTGCAATTAGCGTTGTTCCCTCTGAAGGGTCGGGCCGGGCACGCCACCGTACATGATGTTGAATGATATAAGATGTGTAATGTGATAGAGTGGCCGATATATTTTCGAGGTGTGCAATTTACCGCCGACGTGGAGGCCGAAGTGAGGATGCAAGCCGGGCTCCGAGACCAGGTTTGCGAGGCCGAAAAGCGAAGCGACCGGATTCATCTGGTTGTCATCCCATGAGGCTTCCAGGGTTTTTAGCGAATTGTGGCGGCATAAGGGGGTGGCAGGGCTGCCTAAATATTAGGTTCTTTCAACCATCTTTGCTTATTTGCATCTCAGCAGGGGACCTCGTGCAGACTCGGTGTAACCCCCTCGCGACATGGGATGACGGCCTTCGATTGCAATCGAATGACAAGGACAGCATTACAGGCTTACAGCTCTTGTTTGTGCAACATAAAAAAGAAAATAACCAAAGCCCGGAGCGGCCCGCGGGATGCAACCGCAGTCGCTTAATGCAAAGTCCCTGCGTTGAGCGCGCGCAGCCTTCCGATTCGCCCGCTGATAATGGCCACAATGGCGCCCCCTTTGTTGATGCACATGCTCCAGGTTGCATGCGGGCGGGTGCGTGGGCTCTCAACGCTGGATGTGGTTATGCAGACAGGGATGCCTAATCGTCGAATGAGGGGCGATAGGTCCGGATGAGATGGGGGCCAGGTGAAGGCCGCATTTTGGTGCATGCTTATTAATACTCATGACCTTGACACATCGGATTGTTTTTGGATACTTTGAGCCATCAGAGCAGTCGGTATTAGCACAGAGCCATAATAGAAGAGCTATCCGACGCAAGTGCGGGCAATATCAAAGACCGTAGGAAAAGCAGGCTCAAATAAGATTGGCAGTGGAGAGCTTGCGGTGCACCAGTGTGCTCCTTTCCTGCCTTGGTGTCACAGCAGGAAGCGTCAAGCGGAGTGCGAAAATTCTTATCCTTTGCTGGTCCTGTTCAATGGTAGATGGCACGTCCTGACGACTTGGACAAGACGGTGATGGGAACAGAAACGACTGGGCAGAGCTGCATCGAGTCAGGTCCGTATTGCCTGGAGAGAGCACCCTTCAAGATGCCCTGGATCGGTTCCGGTCGGTTTGCTGACAGGGCTTTTTGTGCCGCCCTCTGGCTCTGGCCGGGTGGAATCGCTCATATCAAGGCGTGACCCACAGCAGGGCGCCAGGCCACGAGCTCCTGTCATGTTGGCGGGGATATGTGGACAGGTGAGACATGGAACAGGTTTCTTGTGGTGCCAAAAGACAGAAGGAGATGGGTGATGGCACTGATGGGTGGCTTGATAGGCTACAGGCAAGACTTGTGCGTACTGATAGATGCAGCGAGAGGAGAGGATATGAACACTGCTTGTTGTTATTTGTTGTCGTTGTTGTTTGTTGTTGCAAAGACTGAGTAAACAGAAGCTTAACTCCGCCGTTATTAGACCCTGATGCGGGTTTCCGTGGGGTGTTTCAAGAGTGTCCAAATAATAGATTGGTGTTTGCCGCTGGCAACGGCCTTGGATGTCATGTAGCACAAGTGACAACTACGAACAAAGGCAGAGTTGATAGGATGTTTCGCTTTGAGAGTTTGGCCAGGCGTAGTCAGTTGCCCTCGGCGGTTGCTAGGACAAGAACAAGCCTCTGCGTTGGGTTGAGGCTTTGTTGCACAGCCAACAACAGCCATGGAAGATGAGAGGCGGCCGACAGTTTCATTGGACGAGGGTGGCGTGCATTGTCTGCAAGGGATATGGACATGGACATGCAAGGCATGTCTGCAAGGCGAAGGGGACAGAGGGACACTGAAAGACTTGAAAACCAGTAGAACTGGACAAGGTTGAATGATTGGAGGACAGAGGAGGTCAAGTAGGTACGTTTTGGACGTATTACAACTTTGGTTGTCGTTTGTTTCCTTTCTGTTTGTCCTCTTGTTGGGCAAGGCCAGCCCTGTGGCGTACTACCTAATCTTTTAGGTTGGTGCCGGGCGAAAAGTTTATAGGGGTCCAGGGGAGTGCCACTGGCAGGTGGCTGGCTGACTTGGAGACGGCTGGAGTTGGGGTTTCAGGGACTTTCAACTTGCAAGTACGGATATCAGTAAGGTAGCACTGGGTAATTCTGAGTGATCCGTACCTACATTTTCCATTGATATGTACTTGTGCTCGGAAATATTGCTATAAAACAAAGTACTGTAAGAGATGCCGCGCCAGCTTCGAGGGCTTTACGCGACTGTGGCCTATGTACCTAAGGTGTCAAGCGGAGGCGGGCTTGCACGTACCTACCACATCCCCCATTTTATCGCTTTCATCACTGCCCATGCCTGTCTTGATGATGATGATTCTTATTGTGTATACTCTGCCTGCATATTTACCATGAAAACAGTTTCCCTTGTGAATGGTTGGCAATCCTATCTTGCTCAGCCCTTGTTGGCCCCTGATGACCACTGGACCAATGACCCCTATAAGAGATAAAATGACAAAATAAATACCTAGCTCACTAATAAATAGAACAGACACATATTTACGCCAAAACAAACCCTCTAATACCTTTCATAGAAAAGGCTAGTTACAAGCCAGCCAACCCATCTGGCTGCACCGCGACTGTACCTTTTCGGCGCTGCACTGGCAACTAAATACCTACACAAGCTTCACCACTATTTTTTTTGCCAACCTCCGCCCCTACCCCATTGTGTGGCCCCAATTGCATGTAGCGTCTTTTTTTTTCTTCCTCGTTTCCTTTCATTTTCCTCCTTTGCCCTCTTCCTTCCCCCGAACTCCCCCATCCTCCTTGCTTTTCCTCTCCTTCCCCCTCTCCTCTCCGCCGTCTCGTCCTCCCTCATCACCTTGACGATCGTCGATCCTTCTTGACTCGTGGACCAGGACAAGAGACCCTTTTCTGCCTTGCCTACTTTTCTTGCTTGTGCGGCAACAATTGCTTGGCTGGCACAACCACTCCCACCACTCCCACTCACACCCCCCCATCCCGTCTACCGCTTATCGCCTACCGCCTCCCGCACACCTCGCTCGGGAGCCCGAGACCGACCAGCATCTCCTTCCCGCCGCGGAAATCTTTCGTCTCTCACAGCACCCCTAACCGACCGACGTCGTCGTGCGCTTCACCCCTGAGCGTCTGTCACATCGCACACGCTCTTCTACACACTACGACCGGCCTACTGCTACGCTACGAAACCTTCGAAAGGCCTTTTTAGCCCGCCCGACCGAATCGCCCACCGCCAAAGATAGAGCCCATACTTCACTGTACTGGCGCCCTTTTACTTTGTGCCCTTTTCACGCTTGCCGCCCGCCCCTCTTCCCAGGTGCTTCGTTTGCTTCTGCTTCGTTACTCCCGCATCGCCACTCGCGCGCTCCAAAGAGCTTCTGATACTCGGCCGGCACGTCATCGACTCGAGTCCAGTCGATTGTCCTGCCGCCTCAATATCTCAGTCGGCCTGCACAAGAGAAACCTGTCCGTCTTGAGATACATTTCTTGCCCACTTTGGACATTCCGTCATCATCCTGCGCTTTTCGACGCCCATAGTTGCATTTTTACGACGGTTTCCTACGAGACGAATTTTCATGACTTCCCCCCTGAACGAATACTTTGAATAATCCGAACACTTGTCCTGCCGACTACAACAGCGGCATCGCTTTTGTCCCACCTGTTTGCTGCTATCCTAAGCCTCTAAATTCCTCAGGCCCGTCCTGTTCGGCCACAGCCGCACATTTACACGTGCTTTCCGGTCATTGCGCGCAATGGCTCAGCCACCTCACGACATGAGCTACCTCGACTACAATTCGGGCTCCAACCGCTCGCCCAATTCCTCTCGCCCACAATATGGCGGCGGCGCTCCCGGCTTCAACGCCGGTCTTTCCCTCCCCCGACAAGCCCAGCGCCCCTTTGAGGCACCCCTCGGCTCTTCTGCCCTCTACGCATCCGACCGACCCAACGCTGGATACAACGTCAGGGGTATGGATACCATCTCCGCTGGCGCTGTCCCTAGCTATATGCTGGATGGCAACCAGGGCTGGAGCTACAGCGCTTCCGGTGCTGCGACGGTCAACGGCGCCGTCAACGGTCCCAACAGGAGCCGCAGCAGCAACCGCAGAGCCGCTCTCCCCCAAGTCAGTACCACACTCGCGTCCTCTGGATAGAAATCTTGCTAAACTTCCGTAGACTTGGACCGATCACCCCAGCATGCCTCCACTGCCTTCAAATCTTCAGGCTTATGGTGGAGGCCTCAACGGCTCCCACCTCTCCAGCAGCAATCTTCGTGTTGATCACCCAGGCACTCACCCATCGCCCTCCGATATTCGCTCCACCAGCTCCGACCCCGATCAGCTCATTCCTACTGCTATTGTCATCAAGAATATCCCTTTTGCTGTCCGCAAGGAGACACTTGCCTCCATCATGCTCGAGATGCACCTACCCCAGCCATATGCCTTCAACTACCACTTTGACAATGGCGTCTTTCGTGGTCTCGCATTTGCCAACTTCCAGTCAGCTGAAGACACTAGGATCGTGATCGAGGCCATGAACGGCATGGATGTACATGGCCGCAAGCTCCGCGTCGAGTACAAGAAGATGCTTCCCGAGGCCGAGCGCGAGCGTATCGAGCGGGAGAAGCGGGAGAGACGAGGTCAGCTTGAGGAGCAGCACCGTGGCCCCATGCTTCACCAGCAGAGCTCCATCCAGTCACTCGGTGCCATGTCCCAGTCTCAGCAGCGCGGTAATCCTGCCGGCTATCTCGGTATGTCCCAGATCTACTGTCTAAAATGATATAAACTGACCTTTGAGTAATAGGGGATGTCGACTTGAATGACCCGCAAACGCTAGACTTCTATACGGAGCTTGTCATGTTTCGTCGTGATGATTCTCGCGAGATTCTCGTCTTCCCACCTGGCATCGCACCTGAGCACCGCCGCTCAATCCATATTCTCGCCCATCACATGGGCCTCGAGCACCAGTCAATGGGTGAAGCCGAATCTCGCCAGCTTACTGTGCTTAAATCCCAGCAGCCCTCGCCAACCCCCAATATCCACAGTGCCCCTTCCAACAGTCTTGATGTCCATAAGCGCGGATTGAGCAGGGCCGCTACCTTTGACTTTGCTGCCGATCGAGAGTCTCGGGCTGTCAGCAGCAATTACTCTCACGTCAACGGCCGCCAGGGACCTACACTCGAGCTTCCTGGTAGTCCTGATGGCCACGGCCTTCCCAATCACCTACGCGCTGCCAAAAGCTTTGCTGATCTGCGTTCGTTTACGCCTAGTCCATCCCAGGCCTCGTCGAGCTACCTGACTCCCAACCCTGGCATGGGAAGTATCGGCCCCGGCTCTACCGCCCGCTTCGGCGACTACATCAGCGCTCAGCAAGGCCACCCTGGCAACCCGTCTACCCCCGGTTCGAAGAACGACCATGGGCTTGCTAGCGGCCTGGGTGCCCTCAACCTGGGCTCTTATGAATCGAGCTCCGTTTCAGGCCAAAACCGCAACGCTCCTGGTGCTATTGGCAGCCAGCGCCCTAGCGGCGTGAGCAACGGACCTAAGGGCGCTCCCGAGCGTCAGCCTCGTGGCCCAGAACGTGAGGCTTCCTCAGGATTTGCTGGCCGTGGCCGATCCAATGGACACCTGCAGCGAAGCAGCGGTAGGTAGTCCGCCAAGACTTCAGCGCGAGATTGGACTAATTCGCCGTACCAGACTCGTCCGACAATGGCGCTCGCGTTGGCACCGGTTCGACTAATGCGGCTCGGTTTTAAACTTGATGACCTCGGCCACGATGCCTGGTCCCCAGGATGGCGCGGCCTTTTGCTGGCTGGGGTGGTGTCGACTTCTCCAGTACGACCGCCTCAGTTTGTACTATGAATGATCCCTATCATGCTGCTACTGCTGGAAGTGTGAAACCTCTGTTTTTATGATATGGACGTCAGAGTGATGAACCGAAACTCTTGGCGGCCATTTATGACGATGCATACGGAACGAGAGCATTGGATGGAGGCTCGAAAATACAGCATTAATTCAACCCTGACAACCTTTTACGACACGTCGAGATCCACCGTCTCAGCAACGCAAATGATGGTGGAGTTTTTGTCATGCTGTCGACGGTGGATTTAGACCATACGTTGACGATGACGATGTGTTATTTATTTTACGATTTGACGTCTAGACAACTGCGTTTGTTTGCGATCCGAGTTGTGGCTCTTACTGGAGACATGGCGAGGCCGCTCCAGCAATGACCAGGACACAAGTCCGAAGAGAAGACGAAAACGCAGAATGACAAAAAAAATACGCTATACCCATTTAATACCCGAACAAACGAGCAGATACGACCATGACGACAACGGAATACTGTCCAGTGCGCGCGCATTGACGCCTAGCGACTGTTGATAGGAGGAAGGGTAGTCGGAGCGCAAGCATTGCCAGCCACGGATGGTATGGCAACGGTTTGCGAAGGAGATGACCAGGCTGAATATCTTTATCGCTTTTGAAAGAAGTTTTTGATTGAATCTCTCTGTTACTAGTTGTCTTTTGTTGTTTGCTGTTTTTTTTGGATCCTTCTTTTGACACTGCGGACACATGTAAGGATGTTTCCTTGACAAGTTTTTGTAATTGGCCATGACTCTGGCAGGGGCGGAAAAAACCTACTATAGACTGGGAGCACGGGGGGCGAGTAGCATAGGACTACCGAACCTTTTGTGAGGACCTTTCTGGTTCTAAGGGAAGGGAGGTGTTGGAAATGGAAAGTTTGTTTGGACGAATATGAAAGACTGGTTTGATACTGGGAAGGTGGAGGGTCTGTCGAAAGACGGGGGTGACGGAAACGTTGCCGGACCGAGGATGAATTGTTTCAATGCTCTGGTCCGTTTCTGGAAAAGGACGCTGAAGCACAGATTGGAAATGGAGACGTGATACAAGTTAACATGTTGCCTGGTACTTGGACTGTGATAGTGATGTGTACCATGGTAACAGTTGTGAAGACGTATTTCTGCTAGAGGAGTGGCCGTGAGTGCCCAAGAAGAGACAATCCAAATCAAGGCCCCTTGTTTAGTTGCTCGGCAGCTCATTATGGAGCGTCGCAATCTATCCGCCTCTTCTCTCCTGTCGTGTGTCTCTCTCCCGGCCATGTAGGTCCGCCGTGGACCGTACCGAGAGGCGCGACGCGCCGATCCGCAGCGGGGTTATCGTGGGGTTCCGTCCGATGGAGGAGCGAAGCAACATGGAAGTGGCACTTTTTGGTAAATTTCCTTTTGAGTTACCTGACCTGAATGATCTTTCACAGCTTTCTATTTTCTCTGCTTGAATTTGCTCTTCTTTCATGAATGGATATTATGTATGAGCTTGTTTTTGATGCATGCACCGATGGTATTAGGTCTATCTAGTAGTAGCAAAACGCCATGGCTGGCGATGCATAACTCGTTTGCTGCTTGCAATGGGAATGGTCTGGAGAACTTTTCTTCCTTGTGACTATGCAAAGAGAGATGGTGTGAGTCTCCGTAAGCATAGTTATATTCTTATATTGAAAAAGTTGAAAGGAACATGGAATATAAAATGACTGACTGTGTGGTGCGAGAGGCGAAAGAAAGAGAGTTTCGAGTATATAAGCCGTGGGCGTCGTATGATTTGGCTTCGAGGCCGAAATAGACGACACAATTTACGCAAAAGGCTTTTCCGCCCAGCACTGTCTATTTTTGGTTTATAAATGTCACGGCGTACGTCTTTCGTCCAACCTCGACCCTGGTCTGGGGCACTTTACATCGGAGAATAGCGCCGTTTCGACTGGAGCCCGTTATCGTCTGACAAGCGTGACAAGCTATCTCTTGGACAATATTAATGTGCGACATGTCACGACCGCTTAGCCCATCGCCGAAGTCTTTTGATCAGAACCTTCAAAACCGAAGGGGTTTTTTTTTAAAACGTCTGGGAAAGAAAAAAGGGCAGCGTTTGGAGAGCGCCGAGTTAGGTTTCTAATCAGGCCGCTGTGGCTCTAACCCCCCCCCTCCATCCACCCCCGGTTTATTTTAAGCAAGGCATAAAAACGTCATCTCCGTCGCAAGTCTAAAACCGACCTTGTCCACATTGAGCCGTCACCGTTTGTCCAACCGTTCGAACCGTTGAACCGTAATCTCTCTCCGTCCTCTTTCTATCTAAACCACCTACACCAATATCAATATTCACAGCATGACGATACCGACACCGATACAGCCTGCGCCGCCGCCTCCAGAACAAGGCGGCAGCAGCAGCAGCAACATTCGCCGACATTGGGTGCACGTTGCCGCGCCCAAGAATGAGCAGTGGACTACGGCCATGGACGGCGTCGACAAGCTCAAGCTTACCTCGACCGACTTGCCGACACCCCGCGACGGCGAGGTTCTTGTCCAGATCCGGGCCGTGAGTTTCAATTACCGCGACATCCAAGGTAAATTGTTTTTTCGTTTCCTCACTTCGCTCGCACTTTTGTCTCTTGTCGCACCTTTTGCTAACCACACCATACAACCTGATCACAGTCTGCCAAGGCGCCTTCAACTCGTACAACACGCAAGCCCGCCAACAAGCCCTCGTTCCCTGCTCCGACATGTGCGGCGTCGTCGTCGCCTACCCCTCTCCTTCTTCTTCCTCCTCCTCCTCCCCCTCCTCCAGCAGCAGCACCACCCCGCGCTTTCCCCTCGGCACCCGCGTCCTTGCCATCTACCTGCAGAGCCACCTCCGCGGCGAGCCCGACGAGGCCGACCTCGGCTCCGCACTCGGCCTGCCCCTCCCCGGCGTCCTCGCCCGCTACCGCTGCTTCCCCGCCGCCAGCCTCGTCGCCGTCCCCGCGTACCTCTCCGACGCCGAGGCCAGCTGCCTCCCGCTCGCCGCCACCACCGCCTGGACCGCGCTCAACTGGCTGCGTCCGCTCTCCCCCAGCGTCGGCAATACAAACCAAGTCAAAGACGGCGGCGCTAGCAAGACCACGGTGCTGGTGCAGGGGACTACCGCAGTTGCGCTCGCGGGCCTGCAGATTGCCAAGGCGGCGGGGTGCAGGGCGCTGCTGACGGCCGCGACGGACGACTTTGCAAAGCGCGCAAAGGAGCAGCTGCAGGCCGACGAAGCAATCAATTACCAGACGCACTGGGCGTGGGAGGGCGACGTGCTCGACGCGACGGGCGGTCGCGGCGCCGACGTTATTTTTGAAACGGGCGACGGCGTGCGCGCCGCGGCCGGTGGCTCCGCGCGCACGCTCCGCAAGAGCTTCAAGTGCGTCGCGTTTGGCGGCATCATCAACTGCATCGGCTCGCTGACTCTTGGCCGGAGCGACAACAACGACAACGACGACGACAATAACAGCGGCGGCGGCGGCGGCGATGACGGCAAGACGCCGGAGCTGCACCGGTTAAACGTGAATGCGCTGGCGCTCGCTAGAAACGTGACGATCAAAGGCGTGCTCAACGGCGGACGCGATCGGTTGGAGGAGGCGCTCGCGTTTTACGAGGCGCATGGGATCAAACCCGTAGTGGACAAGACGTATGCGTTTGCAGAGGCGAAAGAGGCCATGGCCTATGTCAAGCAGGGGAAGCATTTTGGAAAAGTGGTCATTACCGTCGAGGACGGGACGAAGAATGCTGCTGAGGACGTGGACGACGAGGAAGAGAAGAAGCGCAATGAATGATTTTTTTTCAAGTGGATTTGAGTTGCACATCGACAAAGGCGTTTGGACGTACATAGATTGCTATTTTGGATACAGACATGAGACTGAAATGAATTATACAGCAAAGACACAAACGTTAGAATACCAATACATTTCCACACTTCATCAACCATGATTTACACTATAAACAGCTCGTCCTTTTTCTTTTACAGTGAGAAAAAAAAAACGCTTGTAGACCTCCTTGATCTGGGGGTTAACACTATAAGACATGCCGAGTTTTGTTTTTCTTTGCTCCCGTCTCCATGCATCAACAAGTCTCCCCGTATCCTCATTACCAAATAATTCATCGCGCAAACACCTTGACGACGCCGTCGCCGCCGCCGCTCACGACCCATTTGCCGTCCTGGCTCCAAACGCACGAGCACACGCCCTCGCCGCGCATCACGCGGTGCGTCGTGATTTCCTGCACGCACGACCTCTTTTCCAAGCTCCAGAACCGCAGCGACGCGTCGTGGCCGGCGCTCACGAGCTCCCGTCCGTCGGGGCTGAGTGATAAGCTGGAGATGGCGTCGGGGTGCGCGAGCATATTGTATGTACACTGGCCTATCGAGTTCAAAGTTAGTATGAAATGCAACGCAGTGCAAGAGCGTCAAGCATACCGCTGTTGGCGTCAAAGAATCGCACAAAGCGATCCTCGTGGCCGGTAATGATGTTGCCTTCGACGCCGCTGCCCGCCATGGACCGCCCGCCCGTAGGCCCTCCACCACCCGATTCTTCTTCGTTGATGTTGCTGCCGTGGTGCTGGCTTCCTTGGTCTAGGCCAATCGTCGTGGAGACGACCGCGTTGACGCTCGTCTTTGGTGTGCCGTCGTACGTCTCCCCGCTGTCCATCTGGCCAACCTGCTCGCCAGTTCTCGTATCATACACCACCACTGCGGCGTCGGCGTACGCGACGACAAATGTGGCGCCCGACGTGCCGAGGGGCGCGATGCTCGTTGGGCTGGCGGTGGCGCCGTCGGATCGTTGTATTACATGCACAAGCGTCTGGTAAAAGGGCGAGTTGGATGCCGTGCTGGGCTGTGGCGAGCTGGCGAACCCGCTGCCCGAGCTCATCGAATTGCCGCGCACGCGACGCCCGGGAACGCCTCGGTTGGATCCCGGCTGCGGCGAGGTGAGCTGCGGCGGCGCGCTGACGGACCACAGGCGGACGGAACCGTCTGCGGCACCGGATACAAGCAGTATGCGGTCTGGAGTCCCATATTGACTCGAGTTGCCGAATATGGCACCTAGTGTCGTGGGCAGGACGCACAGAGCCCACACTGCATCTGTGTGACCTTCGAGCGTAGCCTTGGGATCCACGCGGCCACGCTCCCAGACACGAATGGTAGAGTCCTGCCCACCAGAGAAGATCCAGCCGTCGCCTTGCGCGCGACCGCCCGTGGAAAAGTTGGGCGCCGGCGACCACGATGTCAGAGAGAGCACAGCCCCGTTATGGCCGCGATGCGTAAAGTTGGCAATCACGTCAAGATCAGATGCGGCATTGCCCATGCCCGAGTGTGTGTCGAGTCGTGGGATGTGGAATCGCTTGATCATGCCGTCGTCGCCGGCTGTGCAAATCTCGGGCTCGCCCGGGCTGCCACCACCGGAAAAGATTACAGTGCGGACCGTGTTGAGGTGGCCGCGCAGCCCAAACCGCAGCTTAAAGTTGCCGCTATCTGCCTTTTGCGAAGACAAGCTCAGGTCCTGGTCGCTACTCCGCCGCTTCGACATGGAGCTCTTTCTGCGCTGGCTGCCAGGCACCCGACCAGGCGATTTCGGCATGTAGTCTGCGTGAGGAAACACGTCTGTGTCCGGACGGTTCGAAGTAGAGGTGCTCTGGGACTGCGCAGTTTCGGGCAGTGCGCCTTCGGAAAAGTCCCATCCGTCCGGGTCTTGGGGTGGTGCAGGCGCCCTCTCGGATTCCTGCACCGTGCCCAGCGCCTCGACAGATTGAGAGGGGCTAACGCCGCTGTCGTTGGTACCTCGCATCGAGATGGGAATGGGGGCCGACCAGTCGTTGGCAGTTCGATACGGCGGCTGCTCCTCTGTGCGGACCACGACTTGCGGGTGGGAGTTGGAGGTCTTTTGGCCGAAGCTGGATGGATCTTGCATCGAGACTGTGGTGGTGGGCGGATTTTGACGGACTTCCTGCACATGATTCTGAACAGGTCGCGATGGTAGTTGAAAATGTCGGGATTCTTGGGGGGGACCGAGCCCGTACGGGTCAACCTCACGCAGGTCCTCAATCATAGGTAGAGGCGGGGAGTCTCTCGGGGGTAAAGGATTCGCTGGTGCAATCATGAGGTACATGAATTCGGATTGGCACTGGTCTAGGAAATTCTTGAGTTCCTGCCTGTGTGCTTCGTCGTCGGTACGCTCCATCTCCACACCATCTGCACCAGGAACCTGCTGCTTCTCTGCATTTCCTGTAAAATGTCAACATCATGCATTGACGAAAGAGGTGCCAGGTCTACCAACCGTGTAGCCTCTCTCGGATCTTGGCATCACGATCCTTTTGGGCAATGGTGTCGGCATCGTCTGCACTCGTCCCTTTTAGTTTGACAGATTGGTCTTTGACCTTGCGCTCGAGAATGGCGACGTATTTGCGCAGAGCCTTTTGCGTGGCGTCGGCGCGTCGTGCCTGGCCCTCGAGGTTGGCTATCCTGGACCGCATCTCCTGGTTCTCAATCTCCCAGGCATTTCTGTCTCGCTCGTGACGATGCCACTCTGTCTGGAGGAACCGCATGACGCCCTGCAGGGTGTACTCTGTAGCTTGGGGTGCGTTGGTGCCGTTGCTCGGCATCGCAGGCCCCATCTCCATGCCGCCGAAGCCATTTCCAACGTTGGGGCCCATCATGGCGCGCCAGAGGTGCAGCTAGGCGAGCTCATCGAGGAGCAGCCTCCCCAGAACGCGGCGGCGGGCGGTGTCAGGGTGATCTCGCGACAGGCAGGGGAGCGCGACCAATGGGCGGTTTGCATGTAGCTTCAATGCTGAAGACGGGTGTCGATCGGGACGGTTCGCGGGGTCCGGGTCGAAGAAAGGCGGGAGATTCGGCTCGCAGAGAAAATAGTCTGCAGCAAAGACAATGGGCGTTCTTCAAGCTCCCAACTGCTGAGCTTGGTGGTGTCCTTCTCTAGCGGGTGGCTCCAGCCAATAGGCGTCGACTGCCGGCTGTCAGGCCACAAGGCATCAACTTTCTGCAGCCCCTGGATAGCGTCCAGGATGTTTGCGCAGGAGCAAATTCTGTCGATAAGCGTAAATAATAGCCAGATTGGTGCATTGTTTTTATTATGCGATACAGATACGCTTTGGCGGCCCGCTGGCAGTGAGCCTCAACGTCGGCGACGACCTTTGAGTCGTGGCACACGATTATCACTGCTCAGGCACGAGACACGAGGCACGAGGCACGAGGCACAAGACACCCTGTTTAAACTCCTTTCTACTGAAAACGATGCCCTTTGGGCAATCCTCTAGCAACTCGCCATTCTTCTGATTCTGCCTGGATGGCTTTTCCAAAAGCTTCACGCCGACCACCTACAGTGTTGTCTTTGTGCCCGAGGCCACCCCATTCCCATTCGACCCAGGACTCAGCTCTAGAGCCTTCTAGTGCATGAACAAGACCCATGGAAACGTCGATCTGATCCGACAGTTCGTCCACAGCATAGAAGACGCTTGCAGAGCAGCGTGAACAGTAGTAGCGCTGCACATCCGGTGAGCTCTCGTAGAATGTGAGGGTACCGAAGCGACTGTCCTTGCCTGCCTTGACCGCAGCTTTCAGGTCCAACGTGTTGGTGGGAAAAGCCGGTTCGTCTTCCTGACGTCCTACAGCGAAACCGAGTTGTGCGACTCTGGCAAACGTCCAATGCATGATGGGTACGCCGACCATGAATCTGCAGCTGTCGCATGCGTCGTAAGCGGCAATAGGTTTGAGCGTGGCAGGATTCACCCAGCCTGGCAGTTTACCCTGCGCCTTGAGCTTGCTGAAGTCATCATTGCCTCGCCATAGCGTCAGATCAACGCCTTTGCAAATGCACTGGACGCGTACACTCTTCTGCGAAGAACCGTCCGCAGTCCTCTGCTGGCACGATGCCTGCGGCGGCCAGTCACTGTCAAGCAAGCCATCCGCCTCACCATGGCCCTTCCGCCAGCGGGGGATCGGCTGAGAAGGCCCATTTAGGTTCTGCACAAATACCGAAGCACCTCCATCCAGAGTGTCCCCTACCCAAATGTGTTGGGCAACCTTGACCAGGTCAACATTCAAGTTTGGCAGCAAGCCAGCAGCAAGGTAAAAGACATCGGGAGCCTCGCCTTCGAAGATCTTTTGCGCAAACACTGGCGTCCCGCATGTTTCGCAAAACATCAAAGTCGAACTGCTGGCGTACTTGTATCTGCAAAGGGAGGAGCTCAAAATGGCTTCTGGTGATCCTGGCCACTGGACTGCGCAGGTGTACATACCGCCCGTGAGGTAACGGCATTGATCGCAGTGGCAACAGGTAGCTGCAAGTGGCAGCTCGGTAGCCGGGAGTGATGCTGAAAAGGTGTGCGATTTGCAGAGACAGTGCACGCTTATCTCAATATTAGTTGCGTTTGCCATTGTGAGTAGAATGAATTCGAACGATATGTTGAGAGATGCAGCAGGTGAAAAAGTTCAACGTCGGACGTTTTGAAGCCTTTCATTTATTTATACACGCTATTGATTTAGCTAGTTCTGCTAAGCCGACTTCAACGCGGGGTTCACGCCAATTTTCAGCCCGACGAACTAAGTGCACCGTGAATCACTCAGCCTGTGAAGTACAACTGAAAGTAACGTGTCGATCAGTACCCTAACGTGCCGTGAACATGCACTCTGGTTAGCTCCGGCAATTTGTCCCCGAGTTGCGCGGGTTGTCACGGGATAACTGTCGTGGGTGAAATCGTATGTATCATGAATATGTACGTCTAATACAGCCTATATATTTGTGCTTCAACAACAAGGCCCCCCCCTCTTTAGTTCTTCCACTCACCCCAGATCCAGCGGTTGAAGAAGTCCAGGGACGAGACGGGCTGATCCTCGGGCACCATGTGGCCAGCGCCATAGATTTGCATAAAGTTAAAGTTTCCAGAGTGAGTAACCTTTCCGTACTCCTTGCCGCTGCCGCCGAGCTTCAGGGGCTGGACCGAAGCCTGATTGAATGCGGCCTTGCCGGGCCACTCGAGGGCCTTTGCCCAGGCGCGGTTGCCGAGCCAGTTGCAAATGTAGTCGGCATCACCGGCGTAGATGAGGACGGGAATCTTGGCCAGCAGGCCGGGCACAACACGGTAAATGGGCTTCATCCAGTCACCAGTGTTGGAAAAGGCTTGGTAGACGCTGCCGTCGCACAAGGTCCATTTGCGCTCGGCACCAATGGCCTTTCTGGTGGTGTTGCTGTTGAGGAACTGGGTGCTGTATTCGGGCGTTCCCTCGCCGTTGTTCTTGCGAATGTCATACACGTCTTTACCAGAACGGCTGTAGACGCTGAGAACGTTGTTGTTGCAGTAGTTTGTAGCACTCTGGCAGGTGGAAGCGTTCTCGGTGTCGTAGCAGCTCTTGATGCGTCTCTTACACTCTGGCAGCGCATTGTCCATGGTGCGACAATCTGACTGACCCAAGACAGCATTGTAACCCCCCTGGCCACAGGCCATGGGGCGGTAGTAGTCGTACTGAGTAAGAGGCTCGGTCATGCCGTTGCCCACCAGGATAGACTTGAGGTTGATGTTGCGGTCGGCGTGGGACAGGATCTCGGCGGCTGTCACGGGAATGTAGTGGCCGGCATAGGACTCGCCCGAGATGTGAAAGTCCTGCGTGGCGTACTGGGGGTACTGCTTGAAGAAGAAGGTGAGCAGCGAGTAGAGGTCCTTGGCGCTGGCGACGCTGGTGCCCACGCTGGTGCCGCTGTAGGAGAAGCCCGTGTTGACGGGCTGGTCGACAAAGATGACCGAGGCATTGTTGTTCCACGAGTAGTTGTTCCTTACGGGCTTCAAGTCGGAGCGCGGGATAGTGGCAGGGCCGAGCTCGGTGAAGAGGCCGTTCATGGAGGAGCAGCCAGGGCCACCGTTGAGCCAGAGGACGACAGGGTCCTTGGCGGGATTATTGCGAGACTCAAAGAACCCTTGCCAATGTTAGCCATGTTGTATGTGATATTGAGTTAGTCGAGGGGGTTTACTGCATACAGAAGAACAGGTGCTTGTCATTGGCATCATCGTCAATGTAGCCGCTTAGCTGCTTGACGGTATCGACCTTGAGCGCAGAGGGGTCGACAATTCTCGAGCGCAGAGTGTAGTCCGCCAGGTAACCATCAGTCTTGGCGGTCTCGGTCGATCGCTGGCTCAGAATGTCGGAGCCATGGAGGATGTGATCCCACTCGCTATCAGGAATGCGTTCGACATTACCATCAGCATGAACAGAGGCCACGAGCCCCACGAGGAGGGCAGACACAGAGAACTTCATCACGTATGAACCCAAAACAGCCAAGTGATAATACAAAGGAGCGGGATAAGAGAACTTGACTTTGAGAGGGGGCGGCTGGCGATCTTTTATCCTCTTTGAACTGGCGCTGCCTATCTGAACAGTTGCCTGACAGTCAGTCACTCACTTCTCCCGGATTCATTTTTGTCCCGCTAGCCATGACGACATTTCACAGAGTAGCGCATCGTAGAATATCCGCCAAGTGGCCATCATCTAGCCTATGAAAATCGTCCTAGCGCAGTATTAGGAAGGTCAAAGAACAAAGAACGGTCATGGAGCTGGACCACATGTACAACTAGAGGGAGGGTAGCATTGTCCGTGGACAGCATGGAGCAACTTGGCCCACGCTCGAAAAGTAATGACCTAAAGAGGAAAGTTGATAAAAAAGAGCATGGGCCGAGCTAGCAAGCACGCGAGAGTGACTTGTGAGCGATCGGCTAGCCTCACTCACTTGTGAGCATTTCCGACGATGAAGCGATGCTCTTTGAACCAGACGAGCTGAGGCGGCCATCTTTAAAGTGAGACATTAAACGTCGATAAAGATTGCCAACCAACTAGATCATCCCACCTGAGCATTGTTTTTTCGACCACACGGGCGCAAAGTTGGACTTGGGGTTTCAGACGCTCCGTGACCCCCAAGCGCTCGGCTAAACCAAGTTGAGCAAGTCGTTAATACAAGGTCGTATTTGCGCTACCCGAAGATGGAATGCAGCCACAATCGCAAACCTTGAATTATCCATCAGGCCCTTGGGGGCGGAACCCGTGCTTCATCCAGCACAACAAATGGATAAGTCATGCTTTTGCTTTAATCACAACTCGTCAGTCATCATCCTCCTCCCACACGGGGGGGATTCGGATTCCAACAAATCACAAGGCTAAATAACTCGAAACCAAGATCAGCAGTCAGAGTATCCAGCACGGCCCCTGAAACCCTAAAACCTAACCTGCTAATCGCCCAACACTAACAGATATCCAGGTGGCGCTCACCCCAGAGAGATCAGGCTCCGGCTCCCACTTGATGTGGCGTGCCAACAAAGACGAAACCTTGCAAGAGAACTTTGCGGGCCGGCCAACCAAAAGCGGCAGCCGGCCAATGGATAAGCATAAAACTACCGAAGTCCGGGTGGCCCTTGTCCTTGTGCTTGCCTCGGCACTTGCCCTGTTTCAGCGAAAGACCTTTTGTAAAACTGACGGCATTTTATTATTATGTAGCACTCTTCATTTCAAACTTGGCTTGTATGTGAGGAAACTCGCTGCGTCCTATGACCCCCCAACCGGGAAAGATTTCGAGTAACATTTCAAGTGCCGAGTAGATGGCTATTAATAACGCATTACAGGGACTCTATATAAAACTGAGAGGCGAAAGTAACGTTGATTTGACATGGGGAACTTGGTGGGGTTGTCAGGAAACAAAGTAATGGGTTGTTCAACTGGGTAGGCTATTTATGGGAAATTATATATACACAGCGCCTTCCTCATTGAATCGCTGCGATTGTCGGACCTTTTGATCACGGGCCGATTCATGGCGCATATCACGCTGTAGCGCTTGCCGACTTTCGGACAAACCCTTGATCTGACGAGGCTCTTGGCAGCATCAGGGCCACGATGTCGGCCACGCCTCGGCAGGCAGCACGGGCAAGTGCGGGCCGACGACCCCGCGAAGCAGATTCTGCACATTGTGCAAGATTCTTGTTAGATGTGCATTGTTCACTGTATGGTATTCACTACAAGCTATTCACTACAGGGTATTCACTGCATGGTATTCATGCTGGCCGTCTCCAAGTAGGACTTTAAGTCCGGTCGAGGACGACAGGGCAGCAAGGCACTGGACAAAGACCATTCAGGCTTGTCGCTGCCAGAAAATAGACTACCGATACTAAAGGATGCTCAAAAAGCTGCGAGAAAATGTTGGAATAAATGCCACTTACGCAATCGCAATCGCAATTGTATCAGCATTACCCCGATTCGCGAGCCGGCAAAAATCTCGGCACGCAACAAGCGGCCGGGCCATCGCTTCAACTCAAGCCACGTAGCTATCAAAGATATAACAGCCAAGTCCTACCTCTACTTTGTTATCCTCAAAGTCGATCAAAGTCGATCGAAGCCAGAGTTGTCAGTAGAGTCTACTCTGGAATTTTGTGCAGAATCTCGTCTTGATTGAGAGAGATTCTTATGAAGGCACAAGACTTAGACATCTAGTGCGCTAATATAGAAAGGCTTATTAACTCTTTGCGGTTTTACAGGACTAAGCACCATAATTAGATGCTGCATGTATCTCGGAAATGTACGGCTCGTCAATGCCAGCAACTAGCTACTTTGGCTGGAGCACTTTCAAGAGCTGATGCTCAATCTTCCCAGTCTCGTTTCTGTACCCACAGGCTTGAGATTAAGAGATGGAAGCATTTCTTACCCACGTAGTCGTATGTGTTTCCTGCTTTGCGCCGCGGTAGGCTTCTAGTCGCATGGGCTCTGCCACCATGAAGCCACTCACAGCTCTCAGTCTATTTGTGCGTAATTGTTGGCGAGGAATGGCAGTATCCTTGAGTAATGTGCAGGTGCTTGATTAAGAGCCTGCGATAAAAATCCCATACGATAGTCTTTTGCAGCACAAATAGCGTAAATTTACTCGGGACAATACTCGACCCAGATGCGTAGGCTCTCTTCCTTTGCCCAAGGAATGCTATACAAGCCCAGTTTCAGGCAAAAGCAGGGTCTTGCCGGCAGGGAAATTCCGATTTACTTTAGCACTCGATTGTCCCCAGGCTTGCCGACCAACACACCAGCCACAATAGTGCAGTCAGTCAAGAAGGTTACAGGCATTGGTGATCAAGAGTAGGTCAAAACCCAGTTCGCGTGTGCCAAACATGTGCTAGTCGCGACTAGTTTAGGCTTTAATAATCCCGAAGAGATCACAATCAGGCTGTTTCTCAGTGTGCTCTCGAAATTGACAGTTTCATCAAGGGAAAGCCCAGACAGAGATTGCAATACTCTCATCCCAGTCACAGTGCGGAGAGAAGCATTACATACATAACATGAAAAGAAATCAGTGTCATGACGAATCAAAACAGCTCTCGGCCCTTTTCTGGCGCTGGACAAGGAAGTTTCGCAAAAGCTGCGGTCCGAACGGCAAGGTGATGGCTTGAACGGACAGGTCTGCGCCAACAAGCTCAAAAGCAACTCGGGCAATCTGCATGACGGCAACTGCAAATGACTCTGTCTTGAGCTGTGAATACGGATATTTCGTCTCATCTCACACTTGTGACGCATTTTTGCTACTCAAAAGTTCTTTTACAGTGCGTTTATGTAAGATTTGCCATTCCAAGACAGCCACGAGACTCGAGCAAATAGGACCAACTCTTCATAGAGCCAGTGAAGCAGTCTACAAAGGTGACTCTCAGTTTATATCTTGTCAAAGTAGGTTATACCTGCTTCAAGACATGTACGAGAATCAGAAAATCTTTTGACCTGTCTCGAGGAAGAGGCTGTTCAGGGTGTGCAAGCTGTCGTCCCTGACGAGCAAAGTCGGCATACGAAGGAAGGCGAGGTCGCCTTGAGCTCTCACCAGTAAACATATGAGCCCCTACGCTACGCTGGTCATGTAGTTTTTAAGCAAGAAGTTGACAAAACTCGAGCCAGCAAAGGAGATCAACTTTGAGTTGCAGCAGCTGCAGACATCTCCCACTCAGCCATGTGCAGCAATCTCAAAACGGCGAGAGCCTTTGCGAATTAAGGGTCTCGTAGGCTTTACATATTTCAAAGAAACGAATCCTTCATTCTTGACACTGCCTGCAAGTGACCTTGCCTGCAAGATGGAGCGTTTGGGCAAGTTTAGAAGCAGCTTGCTTTGACAATCTTACAGTGTCGATGACCAAGACGCCCTCTACGTTCATCACACGACTTTGTAGTTTTCTTTTTTTTCTTTTCTTCCTTGAGAGGTTAAACTTCTCAGGTGCGCATATTGTTCTCGACCGAGACTCGTCCGAGGCTGGCTGAAAGAGGCCTGAGCCACCAGCCTGGCTTTGCCTCGCAGTCACTTATGCTCTTCCAACCAAATCGGGTACTACGACCCTTGGGTATCTTCTCCGGCACATCCGGCTTTTGGTGTCTAGGACGTTAAACCCCCATTCTATCATTGTCCCACAAGGACGTCGCCATTGGCAGGTATCAACTACGTGGCAAAGACACGACCGAGCTGTATCAGAATTATGCACTCATACTGCAAGCCTCCTCCCCGGAGAGAGACACATTGCTCGCACCTTTTTCTCTCTCTCCAAGTTTCTCAGCCATTAAAGCTACGCTATCTAGCAAAAGAGCAAAAAAAGGACCAAAGGACTGTTCCAACAACCGTAAGGAAAACGCCCTCATGCGCACCTTAAAAAAAAATCACGCCAGAAAGGATCAGGTGCTGGGCTGGGCTGGGCTGGGCTAGGTGGGATGGGTGTGGTGACGCTAGAGCAAACGGGCAACGGGCCTTTTATTTTATTCAAGTCCATCATATTTCATCTTTTTTTTTCTTTTCTGCAAGACAGCGAGAGGGAAATGCCGGCGTGGGAATAAACCAATGCCTTCTCTGGTGGTGGGTGTATGCACGACACGGAACGATGATGAAAGTTGGAAGATGACCTTTTATTTTATTTCACTTTATTATTTTATTTTATTTTTCGCTCTTTGACAGGCAGCCACCCGCAAGCCTCATCGAGGTCTTGTGTACCTGGGGCACATCGGATACTACATGAAATCACCCGACGCGGGCTGTGACATCCAAGTTGTATGCTATGCCATGGACCTATGGTATCAAGGTCTGTAGAGTTGCGTGTGTGTATGTGTGTGGCCCGTTCAAGCCACATGATGCCATCTGTCAGAAAAGGCGCACACTCTCTATCAAGATGTGCAGATGTATATCGCGGTAAACTCAATGTGACCTCTACCGTCCCCGTACCCTCCCCGTGCAGTAGTGGCCAGTTGCTAGTCAATTACCCTAC